GGAATCAGCCGAAGGGTCATCACCCACCGCCTCTCGGTGGACCCTTCGGTCAAACCTGTACAGCAGCGAAGAAGACCCTCTCGGCTGAGAGGAAGGATTTTGTGAAGAAGGAGGTCGCCATGCTCCTCTCCATCAAGCACATCAAGGAGGTAAAATACCCCTCATGGATGGCTAACGTAGTCCTCGCACAAAAGCCGCCCACCTTCCGCATGTGCGTAGACTACACTGATTTAAACAGGGCGTGCCCCATGGATCCCTTCCCCCTGCCTAATATTGATCAACTGGTGGATGAGACCGCGGGGTGCGAGATCATGTCCTTCCTCGATGCCTTCCGTGGGTATCACCAAATTTGCATGCACGAGGAAGACGCCGAAAAAACAGCCTTCATGACTCCCGAGGGCATACTCTGCTACCTTGTGATGGCCTTCGGCCTAAAGAACTCAGGCGCCACTTACACTCGGATGGTGGCTAGAGTCTTTCAGGCCGTCCTAGGGCGCACCATGGAGGCCTACGTCGATGACATGATTGTCAAAAGCAAACGGTCATCAAGCCATGCTGACGACCTCCAGGAGATCTTCGCCATCATGCAAACGTTCAACCTTCGGCTAAACCCGAAGAAATGCACCTTCGGCGTACAAGGAGGCAAATTCTTAGGCTACATGGTGAGCCGAAGGGGTATTGAGGCCAACCCCAAGAAAATCCAGGCATCATCAACATGGAGCCCCCACGCAACGTGAATGAGGTCCAACGGTTGACGGGCCGCCTGGCAGCCCTCAACCGCTTCCTATCCAAATCGGCAGAGAAGTCCTTACCCTTCTTTCAGATCATGAGGAAGACCGCCAGCTTCCAATGGACTCCAGAATGCCAGGAGGCCTTCAACGAACTAAAACAGTATTTATCTTCACCCCCCGTGCTCTCCAAACCCAAGGTAGGGGAAACCCTGTACCTTTACCTTGGTGTTAGCCCGGCAGCCATCAGCTCAGTACTCATCCGGGAAGAAGATGGCGTCCAACATGCCGTCTTCTATGTTAGCAAGACCCTCAGGGAAGCGGAACTCCGGTATTCCCCTGTAGAAAAAACGGTGCTAGCCATTGTTTGGACTGTGAAGAAGCTTAGACATTACTTTCAGGCCCATCCGGTCCAGGTCCTTACGCATCAACCCCTCGGTGCTTTGATGAGGAGCCCCACCAGCTCCTCCCGAATGGTAAAGTGGGCTATCTTCCTCAGCCAATACAACATCAACATCCGTCCGAGGCCTGCCATAAAGGGCCAAGCCCTGGCAGACTTCGTGACGGAGTGCACGGCCAGATCAGCGGTGGATGAGGAGCCCTCGGCACCTTCGGACGAGTGGTGGACCCTTTATACCGATGGCTCCTCAGCTACCAAAGCATGCGGAGGAGTAGTCCCCATTACTCCCGAAGGCTTCCAGGCCTACTATGCCATCCGCTTCTCCTTCAAAGTTTCCAACAACGAAGCAGAATATGAGGCCCTCCTCTGTGGCCTTCGGCTGGCAGCAAATATGAAAGCCAGAATGATCCACGTCAAGTGTGACTCCAAACTTGTCGTGGGCCAAATCTCCGGGGAGTATGAGGCCAAGGAAGGGAGGCTGAAACAATACAAGGAGACGGCTAAAGAGTTGCTCAAGGTATTTGAGGCACACTCTCTCACCCAAATACCGAGGCCTCAAAATTCTGAGCCCGATGTTTTATCAAAACTCTCAGATGAATCTCCCGAGCACCTCTCCAAAATTGCAAGGATAGAAGAGCTCAACCTCTCAAGCATACACGCCAGCCCCGTCATGCAAATTCAGCAAAGGCAAGGGGATTGGATTTCAGACATCATCGCCTTCATCACCACCGGGCAACTGTCGGAGGATGAGTCCCGCGCCAAGTTAACGAAGCTGAGGGCTTCCAGTTACACCATCGAAGGCGGAAGGCTCTATAAGCGGTCCTACAACGGCACACTACTATGATGCCTTCATCAGGATGAAGCCGAGGTTGCAATGGAGGAAGTACACAATTGTACTTGTTCAGCTCATCAGGGACCCTTCTCCATGTCCCGAAGGCTCATCATCGAGGGCTACTTCTAGCCTACGATGGCCCGAGACTGTGCGGATCTCGCCCGAAGGTGTACCGCATGTCAACACTTCCAGAAAGCCCTGGCAGACCAGCGGTCAACTATGCCCCCATCAGCACATCTATACCCTTCGCTAGATGGGGCACAGACCTTGTGGGCCCTCTGCCGAGGGGTACCTCCAACAACAGGTACATCATCGTTGTCATTGACTACTTCACCAAATGGGTGGAAGCTGAGCCCCTCGCCAGCATTACTGAGGCCAGGTGCCGCCACTTTGTCCTAAAGAACAATCTCACAAGGTTTGGTGTTCCCCAACAAATCATCTCCGACAATGGAACCCAATTTGAGACAGCCCCCTTCTGTGCCCTTCTAGAGGCATGGGGCATCAAGCACACCTTCTCATCCGTTGCTTACCCCCAAGGAAACGGTCAAGTGGAGAATGTCAACCGGACATTACTTGAGGGCCTCAAAAAGAAGTTGGAGGCCGAAGGGGGAGGCTGGGTAGAAGAACTCCACAATATCCTATGGGCTTATCGCACCACCCCTCGACGGGCAACAGGTGAAACACCCTTCTCCCTGTGCTATGGGTTTGAAGCTAAAGCTCCCACTGAAGTGACCCTTCCTACCCGAAGGGTAGTCCAATATGATCCCGATGTCAACGACGCCAACATGGCCCTCGACCTTCACCTCATCTCAGAACGCCGAGAGCAAGCCTTCATACGAGCGGAAAACTACCGAAGGCAAATCAAAAGTTACATCGACGCCAAAGTCCGCTCTCGAGAATTCCAAGTGGGGGATTATGTCCTACGACGAAGGGAAGCAATCCAGCCAACCGAGGGCGGTAAAATGGCACCCAAATTTGAGGGCCCATACATCGTGGAAGCCGTCATCAAACCGGGAACTTACAAGCTCAAACGCCCCAACGGGACCGAGGTCCCCCGACATTGGAATGTACACCATCTAGTAAAATTTTATCAGTAATGTTGGAGCGGCCAAGCCCTCATAACTAATGAATGTATTATTCTACGGCCCGAGGCCTTCAAATTTGAAGACATATTAAAGACACCAAGAACAAAAAACAAGACACATATGAGCGGCCAAGCCCTCATTCATATTCCTGGCCCAAGGCCTTATTGCAAGACCCCCCGGCACCAAGTGCCGAGGGTTGACACTCCAGAAACCTACAACAAATGAAGGAAAACACCAAGTGTTTTTAAGAAGACCCCTCGGTACCCAGTGCCGAGGGAACACACCCCTATCAACTCCAAAAGAAGGACACCTAGTGTTTTTGAAGACCCCTCGGTACCAAGTACCGGGGGCCACATTCTGAAACAAACACCAAGTGTTGTTTCTAAAGCCGTACCCCTCGAGGACGCATTATACCGAAGGCGCCACCTATCGGTGCCGACGGCAGTAGTGCCCCCGGCCATTTGCAACCAGTGCAAATGAAAACCCTTCCTTGAAACGCTTTCTGCGCCATTACCCCAAGGGTATGGCAGGCAACTAATATGCCCAGGATTCGACTTTCAAAAACGAAACGCTTCCCGCGCCATTACCCCAAGGGTATAGCAGGCCACGGACTATATCTCGTGCCCAGGGAATGACTTTCAAAACTGAGGCGCTTTCCGTGCCATCCCCCAATGGGAGGCAGGCTACATACTAGGTCTCATGCCCAGGAAACGACCCTCGATCCCCTCGGAACTCGGAAGGTTAACCCGAGGGGGGAGCTAATGGTGTATGCTGTTGCCTCCCGATAGGCCAAGCCTTACCAAGAAACCAAGTTTCTTGAAGCCTTCCCTTCATTACCCAAAAAAAAAGTGGGGTGAAGGGGAGTAGAGTCAGCGAGAAATCAATGAGTACACAACTCCAACAATTCACATCAAAACGCCCTTCGACATTATAAGAAATTTCAACATACCGAAGGCTTCCCTAGTGGAACACTTCCGGTAACTGAAGGTTCTTATTCACTGAACACCTTTGACGATGCCCGATCCCCGAAGGTTACTACTCAACAAATATCATCAAGAAATGGCTAAGTCCACTTTTTGGCTGCCTCCGGCGTCACTGACACCGAGGGATCTACTCCCTCAAAAGGGATAAAATTGGCTGAGTCCACTCATCAACGATTCAAGACAAATGTTATCAAGTATTGGCCAAGTCCAAGCAGCTATCGCCCCCAGCATTTCACCCAAACACCGAGGGGACTCTCCCAAACTTCGCCCGAGAGTATTCATCTTATCATGCCATGGTGGGAGTGTAAAAATCCTAAAGTACACACTTTGGGATCTACTAAAAGTCGAAGGCTCCTCACACATTACCGGAGGCCAGCCTTACGAGCCAAAGGAAATTGTTCTGAAAGTTGGGTGCCTCCGGGACCACCACCCTTCACCGAGCCAAGAACTACACTTAGAAAAATTTTCTAAGTCCTAAATATTTGGCCCTCGGTCAAATATCCATGCAGCCAGGGGAGCCACAAAACCGAAGACTTGGTGGAAGAACTACACTTAGAAAAAATTTCTAAGTCCTAAATATTTGGCCCTCGGTCAAACCCCCATGCAGCCCGAGGGGCCACACAACCGAAGGCCTGGTGGAAGAACAACACTAAGAAAATTTCTATATGTCCTAAACGACTAACGACTAAAACAACAGAGTACGAAGGCATTCATTAACGAAGAAAGGGCGAAGGCATACATTCAAAAATAAAAGCAAATTATATACAAAAGCCTGGAGGCATCAATTCATCAATTAACAAAAATATAGGGTAAGGTGTTCATAAGGGCTGGAGCCAAGAGTTAATAATGTTGTTACAAAGGTGGATCAGGAATTGTTCTAAGTACAAACCACAAATCAGCAGTTGTGGCGTCACCCCCTTCGACAGCTTTGGAGGTGGCATCGCCTTCGGTCTCATCTCCATCACCACCGAAGCCACATTCCCTGAGGGTCTTTGAATCTTCAAGGACCGGCCTCTCTTCGCCTTCGGGGAGGGGGACCCTAACGTCTGGTTGCCGGGGGGAAGACCATAAGCTTCAGGCTGGAACTCCTCCGGCGAAAGTTTGAAGTGCCTGGCGAGCTTTCGGTAGATGAGGCGGTGGGTAAAAAACTCTCCACCTTGATAATAGGAGTCACACTTCTCAGCAAGCCACATTTTGTCGGGGCCTCCAACCCAAGCGTCCACAGAAGCCTCCACCACCGAGGACAGCCACTCCTTCTGCTCCTCTGCTTTCCACCCCTCGGCAATGAAGGCGGCCACAGCATCCTCCCGGGCCTTGGCGACGGCCTCTTCTTTAGCCGCATGGGCCTCCTCGACAGCAACACGAGCGGCTTCGTTAGCAGCCTCCCCAGCCTCAGCCAGGCCCTCGCTCTTCCCCTCGGCCTTCGCAGCTTGCACTCGCTGCTCCATGCTGTCAGTAGCCATGCGGAGGGAATCCTCGGCCTCAGCCAGCCTCTTTTTAAGGCTGGCAACTTCCCCATCAGCAGCACTCTTGGCCCCCTTTATCTGCTCCACCCTCCGGAGGTACTCACAGAGGCCCATGAAGTTCTGCAATCAACAAGGATGACGGTTAAACATAGTGCATACAATACATAAAAACAAAAGTGAATGCGAAGAAAGAGGGGGAGCATGACTCACGGAGGCACTGCTCAGAAGAATCTTGGCTTCGAGGGAATTTTCAGCCATCCTGGTGAGGGCTAGCCGGTCAGCCGAGGGCAGCATCTGGCTCATCAGTGCCGAGGGGTTGAGGCTGCCCTCCAATACGGAGGCTCCCTTCGGCACAATCGCCTCCAACTTCTCCCGACCGAAGAAGTCTTGGTCTATATGCTCTTGTGGGATGGGACCGGAGGCGTGCCCCTCATCCACAATGACCACGACATCAGTGGCCGGCTGCTTGCCGGAGGCCGTGGCTTTCAACTTCTTGGCCGGGGGCTCGGTCCCCTTACCGTAGTTCTTTTTCTTCGTGCCCCCTGCACCTTTGGACCCCTCGGCGCCAGCACCGGCAGCAGCAGCTTGGGAGGACTCCTCCCTGGCGGAAGCGCCCACCAGACCCTTCTTCTTCCCTTTCGCGTTCTTCAGGGCAAAAAGAGAGCTCACATCCATATTATTACCTGCAAAGACAAGACGCAAAATGATTAGGCCGAGGGGTACCAATTATAGTGACATGGATTGAACAAAAAAACAAGGGAAAAATCCTCTAAGTACAAAACATATGCCCCTTCGGTAATCACCCCCGGCTCTCTCGAATACGCGGTCTATCGGAGGGTAGCTTTCATCCTCTGAGCCTCTCGGCCGATATTGCCGAAAGCCAAGCTTGAACAGTTCGTCCGGAAGGGTGACGTCTTTGATCTTCACGTGCTTATCGGACCCCTCCGGCTTCTTGGCAAGTATCCTTCCGTTCTTCTCGAGGGCCGCACTCCCTACCTTCGGATGACGCCGAAAGCTGTTGCGAAGTGGGGTCGGAAAGGGGTTCTCCTCCAGGCGTATGTAACAATACTTATCCTTCCATCCCTTGTGGGACGAAGGCACGTCATCAAAGAGCATGAACTCCGGGACTTGCTGCAAGTTGGCAAAGCCCTCAGCGTTCGAATGCCCCCCCCCCCCCCCTCCACAAGTTGAAGGACATAAAAAATTGGTCGAGGGTAGGTGGAACCTCTCGGCTTCGGCACAAGGAGAGGTATCCGACCACATAAGAGTGGCTGTTGGGCGTCAGCTGACAGGGGGCCAGTCCCACGAACCTTAGATACTCCAGCAGAAAAAGGGTGAAGCGGAAAGCGGAGCTCCATCTCCACTGACAGGGTATGAACGGCAAAGCAGCCCTCGGGTGCATATCGTAACAGATCATCGGCCCCTGGCTCCACCACACGTGCCGAAGGGCCAACCAGAATTTGCGTGGCTTGGTATTCAGCCGGGGATGCCCTCGTCTTCAATTCTAGGGCGGCGGTGTTCAGGAAAGAGTGGCCCTCGGGAATACCTACTGGCTGTCCGGCGTCCACGGCTGCTTGTTTCTTCTTCGGAGCAGCCCTCGTCTTCTTCTTTTTCCCGGGAGCCACACTAATAGGCGTCGGGTCCAGAGGCCGGGAGGTGCTGGTTTCCCCAGCATTACGTGCGGGGAGGACAGCCACTATGACTTTCATCCTCTCCTCCTTCTGTGCCTCCTCCTCAGCTACTTGGAAGGCGATGTCTAGCTCCTCATCTTCGCACACCTGCTCAAAATCCTCAGCCTCGGCTTCGGCAACGAGGTCTTTTTGTACTTCCATGGCTACGGCCGCGTCACCGCTCACCGAAGGCTGCCCACTGGAAGAGTCTACGTCTGAGACGCTTTCCACCTCCACCGAATCCTCCCTTGATATGTCTTGGGAATCGCTAGTTGAAGACATGATTGTCCGAGGGGTACAGGGGACGAGAGTCCTAAGGCTATAACACTTAATCTAAGGTCGCGAAGCTAAACTTACTGATACGACAAGGAATGGATGGAAGACTGGCCTTAGAAAAGAGGATTTGATCGAGGGCAAGTTTCTCTCTCTAGAAATATTTCGGCAGAGATTCACTAACAATGAAATCGCACAAGGAAATGGCCTTGGCCTTGGGGTACTTATAGGCGCCCAGATCCGGGCTTGGGCCCAAAACCGGGCCTCCGGTTAACAAAGTCATCATTACACGCCGTCCCTTCCGCCAACCGGTGACACCCGCTCGGAGCTAGCCAACAGCCACACGCCACGTGGAGGTCCTCTCCAACGTCTATTTTTTAAAACGCTCCATATGCCAACGGTCTGATTGCAACGGCTATATTTTGAAATCACAGAGGTGCTCCCGGCCTGTGCCCCTCATACTACATCACAAGTGCCTTCGGGCTCCCTCCTTCAGAAGCCCACGGCTTAACAACGGGTTTACCCATCGGGAACCCTCAGCCCTCAACGCATTGAGGGCCAGGAAACCCCGGGGGGAACACACCTTCATCAACTGTCAGCCCCGGCCACGCAATAAGGAGACCCCTCGGGAACATCAAATTTAAAACACCATTCTAGGTGGACAGCCTTCGGTATACAACAACGGACCCCTCGGGTGCCCTCATCCCCAGCTTGCCAACAGCTAGAGAATCCCCCCGGTAACATAGCCACTACCACTACATTTATCACGCCCTCGATCCCATGGATTAAGGGACTCCCCTTCGGTATCTCCCGGGATATTAACAAAGCGCCTTCGGCAAATCAGCACACACGCCCTCAGACGAAGATAATCCTCGGCAACAATACTGTCATCCATTTCGAACCAAGGTTTCACCTTTTCGATTCATCATTGGGGAACTCGGTGCACTCTTTTTCCCTCGTTAGAATATTTTCCCACAGGGTTTTTTCTAATGAGGGTTTTAACGAGGCATCCCCCCAAAATGAAACGAAAAGCGTCGGCCTTCGACAACGTGATAACAACGGGCACTACTCTACTCCTCTTCACCACATTACAAGTGCCTCAAGGAGTGGGGGACTGGGGGACCCCTTCGGGAAAAATGCAAAATATCAAAAACCTCCCCAAAGCAGCAACATAATCCTTCAAGTCCCAAAAATGTGGGGGACTGAAGGACTGCCCCCGGTAGAATTGTGCGCAAACGTAAAACTCTCACAGGTTTACAAACTACATGCAAGACAGCATCGGAGGACAAACGCAATTACTCCTGTTCCCTCAAGTACCTTTCGGAAAAAGGAGTGAGGGACTCCTGAAGGAGTATATGGCCCAGGAACCCCCGGCCTATAGACTCCCACTACTATAGCAAAAGCCCAACAGGCCCAGGAAGCATGGCAGGCCCAAATTACAGCGCCCCAAGTGCCAAGCAGCCCACGACGAACACTGGGGTGCCTTCGGCCCCTTGGCCGAAGGCTCCTGAGCTAACAGTACAGCTCCTTCAAAGCCCTCAAAGTGTCTGAGAGGAAGCGGCAAAAACAGGAGCCCTCAGCACCAAGGGCCCCCGGTATGAAGAGCCTTCGGCCAAACATCTACGGCCGAGGACATCTCCTCGACAGAATCTCCCACCCACATGCGCCGTATCAACGTACCAAGTACAAACGTCACATCCAACCACCGCATTTAATGTGGCCACATGCGAGTGCCAGTGTCACCCCGCTGAGGTGACCCCTCGACCGCCAGAATGATGACACGTGTCCCTATCTGACATTTATTACTACTATAAATAGCACTCCTTTCCCCATTTGTAATTCAGGCTCAATACGCTCACTACATTCTCAGCAATATACTCTCTCTCTCTCTTACTTTTGCTCTAACTTCTCTCTAATTATTTCCCGCAGTAACCCCTCGGATAGATACCCCGGGTACACTTATCCATCACAAAGCATTTAGATCAATCGCTTTATCATCATTTGTAAGAATATCACCATTAGAAAAATGAAAATTATACTACATAATAATTATGAAAAAAAAGTCATAATGAAGTGTAAAGCAAGGGTCTACAATAAAGTTAATCGCCTAAGTAAAAGGAAAAAAATGTTGTACGTAATATGGAGTGTTGGTCCCGTTTGTAATGGGAACAGTCTAGAGGGGGGGGGTGAATAGACTGTTCAGGAATTTAAACTTTTCTCTAAGTCAAGTCTGACTTATCAGAGATGGTCGAAATCTGGTGACAGAGATGGTCAAGTTCTGATGGCAGAACTAGACCAGGCAGCGGATAAGTTTCTGTCCGGGTAGCCTCTAGAAGAAAGCTAAGGCAAAATGCCTTTCTGATAACTCTGAAGGAAGATCTGCTGGACACAGATTCCAACCTGAAGAGTTAGTCAGTAGAATCTTAAGTGCAGGAATTAAAAGCTTAAAGTAAATGACACCGGGGTTTTTATAGTGGTTCAAGGAACAACTTGTTCCTCTAGTCCACTGTTCCACTAAGCTTGCAAAAACAACAGTTTACAACGCCTTAGTCCCTAGAACTTAAGAAGCACTCCTCGTCTTCTTCAAGTCTAGTTGCCACCCGGGATGCAGTCCTGCTTCCTGATGGCTGGTCTCGTTTCACTGAGTCTCTTGAAGTATCCTCACTTCACTTACTCCAGCTAGTTAGAGACGTCCCTTCTTTTTCAAGAAGTGTTTGATATAAAATCAGTTTTCTCCAACGTTACTTCTTCACAAAGGATGAGTATATGAAGCTTTCGAAGTGTTGAAGAACTGAGTAACTTTGCAGTTTGCTAGTTGGATGAAGGATAGGAAAGTATATCTTCCAACTGGAGCCTTTTCTTGTTAAGGATGAAGTTTGAATCTCAAGAAGGCTTTGAGCAAGATCGGTTTTTTCAGATGGTATAGCAAAGTTGTTTTTACGCAAAGTTATCCTCTTAGTTTTTCAGAGTGTATCTTATATACTGAGAGCAGTCTTCCCGTTGGAGTGTAGAAGACAGCTTCATTAAATGCATGTACTGTTGACTTGACCGGTTGGACCTTCGACTTGCTATTTTGGGGGCGTAAAGATACTCACATGGTCAATCATCAGCTTTAAATATCTCTTCGTACGTACAGCATTAAATGTGCATTTAATGCGTGTACAGTACCATGTTTCCGTTGAAAGGTTCGTAACCGTTAGGGGATTTCCCGTTAGTTTAACGACCGTTGGAAAGGCTTCCGGAATCTGGTGGGTTTAACAGAGTCTTAAGAGGTTCTCTGGTCCAATCTCTGAAGTCCGTCTCTGTTGCCAACTCTGGTATCTTTCTGATGACCAGTTTCTGATGGCTTCTCTGGTGAGCAACTCTGGGAGCAACTCTGGTAGAGGCAAAGCGGTTCTCTGGCAGACAGACTAAGCTAAAACTTACAAAAGAAATTCTAATACAAAATTTCTAATGGGGTACTTTCAAATTCTAATAAACCTAGCATCATCAAAATCTAAATACATTTATTCCTTACAATTTCCCCCTTTTTGATGATGCCAAAACCCTTTAACTATTTCCAGAGAAGTGCCTTTCACCATAAAAAAAATAAAGTTTAAAACTTTTCATTAGAATCTTGGTGGGCAACTTGGCATAGGAAAATAGTAAGAGTACGATACAATCAGATAGCAATAAAATCAAATAAGATAACAGAATGCACACAAGGAAGTAAATAAGAACAGATATTTGAATAAGCCAAG